TATGCTTACTGTTGTTTATCTCTGCTTACGTCTTTATTTCGTATATTACATATCATATGATTAGAATTAATTCGTTTTTATCTTGTAATATGAGAAAATATGCGCAAGTAGTTATAAAACATAGCGCAAGTGAAGAGAAGTAATCCAACGCAACGTACAGTACTTACCTACTCGCACAACGCGGTGCCTATAACGCGAAGTTATCAGTCATGTAGTTTTGCCAAGAATTGAATCGAGGAACCATACTATTATTATATATCGATGGATTTGGCATGAAATGCTTTTTAATTTTTGTCCTTACAAAAACTTAAAAATTTGCAAAGGTGACGAAGGGGAGAGGGAGGGGGGGGGTGAAATATTGCATTTTAAAAAATTTGAATAGACCGATGGAAAGGGCATAAGATACTGTAAAACTTTTGTCTGAAATATTTTTTCATATACCTCATATTTTAGGAAATATTAAATAAAAATGAAAAAGTCCGTTTTTTTCAAGGGGTGGTTTCAACCCCTAAACCTCGAGATAAGCACATAAAAAAAAATACGTGTCTAATGTTTTTTGATGCTCTACAACATATCCAATGCTCATCAAATTCGGTGAGGGACGCCCCCGACCGTTTCCTTGTAAGTCGGAGACCATCTCGATGGCCTCCTTAACTCTCTTCCCCTAGAGCCTTAAGGCTCTTCTTTCTGGCCTTCTCCACGCTGCCGAGAGCCTCCATAAGACTCGCTCCGATGCCCGCGGCAGATTCCCCTTTCACGCCATCCCTAGGAATGTCCGACACTTCGTCGTTGCTGTCAAGGTGCGACAGCGCCCTCTTCTTTCTCTGGGAGGAGAGTGACGCCGTCGAGGACTCAGTTGGCATCGAGACGGAGACGCTCGCCTCCTCCTGTTCCCCCTTATCTCTAGAACGAATATCTTCCATTTCGTTCGTAAACCCACAACTTCCCACGTTTCTGGTGACCGGCGTATCTCCGCCCTTGCGGGCCCCGAGGTACTCCCCGAGAGTCACTATATATCTCGGGCCCCCTGATTTCTCAAAGGGGTACTGGGTTCTCGTTTCCTATACCTCCCCAGTTCCTTAAAAACGATAGCCAGGCCGATTTCGGAGGTTCCCTGTCTCCGATCCCAGGGGCACCGTGAAAAGCGTCGTCACGCGGGGAGCTCTGTGGACAGACTAGTACCGAGGGTGTTGCAACCCACTCAGTCCGCCACGGCAGCTGGCTGATGACGCCTCCCAGAGGGACAACTGTACGTGTTGCAATCGTCCCCCCCCCCCC